GATCCAAGGAATGGAAAACCTACCTCATGACAGGAGACTCAAAGAGCTTGGTTTGTTTAGCCTAACCAAAAGAAGACTGAGGAGAGATATGATTACTCTCTATAAATTCATCAGAGGGACAAATACCAAAGAGGGAGAGGAGTTATTTAAGTTAAGAGGCAATGTGAACACAAGAACAAACGGATATAAACTGGCCATCAACAAGTTTAGGCTCGAAATTAGGCAAAAGTTTCTAACCATCAGAGGAGTGAAGTTCTGGAACAGTGGGGACAAAATACCTAACTAGCTTCAAGACTGAACCTGATAAGTTTATGGAGGGGATGGTATAATGGGACTGCCTACAATGGCATGTGGCCCATCGGTGACTACCAGTAGCAAAAATCCCCAACGGCCAGAGACGAGACACTAGTTAGGGAGGGCTCTGAGTTACTACAGAGAATTTTCCTACGTATCTGCCTGGTGGGTCTTGCCCACGTGCTCAGGGTCTAACTGATCGCCATGTCTGGGGTCAGGAAGGAATTTTCCTCTGGGTCAGATTGGCAGAGACCCTGTGGGGAGGCGAGATTCGCCTTCCTCTGCAGCATGGGGCCTGGGTCACTTGCAGGTTTAAACTAATGTAAATTGTGAATTCTCTGTAACTTGAAGTCTTTAAATCATGATTTGAGGACTTCCATAACTCAGCCAGAGGTTAGGGGTCTATTACAGGAGTGGGTGAGTGAGATTCTCTGGCCTGCAATGTGCAGGAAGTCAGACTAGATGATTACAATGGCCCCTTCTGACCTTAAAGTCTATGAGACTATAACAAATTGATAAAACACAGTAAATTCCATGTAATCTATCAATCATTTTCAATGAAAAATGAATCATTAAAGCACAAATGTATGCGTTTTTTAAAACAAACTACAAAAATAATTGCAAAGTTGTCTGTTAGATTATGCTTGCTATTTTCTAATGAATGACTGTCTGCCACATATCCAGCAGAGGGCACTAAAGGAACACTCATATGCAATCAAAAAAAAAAAAGTTCCTCACTGCATTCCAAAAATAATAAAATAGAAATAGGTTTAAAGTCTCTCTTATTTACATTTTAACCCACTATATAAAAGCAGTTTTAAAAGCTACTGCCATAATTAGGCCTTTTCCCCTCAAATATACAACTTGTCAAATGCTCATTAAAGTGAGATACTTTTCTTTATTTCTATCATTTCCTTCAACAACATTGCAAATTACAAAGAGAGCTGTAAGTAAATAATTGCTCTTGCTTTTATGAACAACCTATTCCCGCTTGTTTAATTCATTCAGAGATACCATAATTCACTTACTGGGGAAAAAAAAAACCCACAGTAACTTCTATGGAATGAAGAATCACTGAGTACAGATGAAAAAGCAACAGACTAGTTAAAGTAATATGTGGAAACCAAGAATGATTTCCCCTTTTTCTGGCTCTATTGCTTCCACTTAGGTTTCAATCCAGATATGAGCTATGCACCAGCAGATCTCTGCTTGCAGCACTGAAGTCAATGGGGGCTCCACAAGGGTACAGCTATATGCTCATGTGGATAGAGCAGACGTAAGATCCACAGTTTATGAGTGATTTTTTTTTTAAACCAAAATACTTTAACTAGTACAGCCCCCAGTGTGGATGCAGTTTACCAGTATAAAGGTGCCTATACTGGTATAGCTTATTCCCATACATTTAGGGTTTTCAAACTGACATAGTTAAAGCAGTACAGAAAGTGTGTGTAGACAAGCTCTTAGGGCTAGATCCAAAATGGGAACTTCAACTCAACATTCCGACACCTAACATCCAGGCACCCCGCTGCCTAGTGGTATCCACAGCCCTGCGTTAGGCACCCAGGCTCTCTATACAATGCATGGGGAAAGTTAGGATCCTAAGAATGGGATTCACAGAAGCCAGCAAGCTGAGCAGTGGAGATGCCCAAGTTAACAGGCGAGATAGGCAGACTAACACCTAGTTTGAGGATCCCTCTAGAGCTTAGGTGAAAGCTGGGCATCTAGGCATCAGAACTTAGATGGTAGTGCACAAGCCAAGAGGCAGGAATTTAGGTGCCTACAGGGTTAGATGGGGGTTTTGAGGCAGGAGCGGCGGAAGCTTCCTACAAGTGTGTGTGGGGGCCACTGGTGCCCGAACTGAGGTCCCATCCACCTGCACCGTCCCTTTCCTGAGGCCCCACCCTCGCACCATCCCCTCTTCTGAACACCCGGCCCGCACTTGCTCTTCTCCACCCAACCCCTCGTTCGCCCTTATGGCCAGTAAAAAGTGGGAGGGCATTTCCAGTGCAGTGAGGGATGCTGATGCTGCTTTGATAGTGGCCTTGGTCCACCCTTAGATTAGAATTAGGGCTGTCAACTAATTGCAGTTAACTCAAGTGATTAATTCAAAACAAATTAACTCGATTAAAAAAAATCAATCGCAATTTTAATTGCACTGTTAAACAATAATAAAATACTAATTTAATTTTATTATAAATATTTGTGGATGTTTTTCTACATTTTCAATTATATTGATTTCAATTATAATATAGAATACAAAGTGTACAATGCACCATTATTTTCTATTACAAATATTTGCACTCTAAAAAGGAAATAGTATTTTTCAATTCATCTCATACAAGTACTATAGTGCAATCTCTTTATCGTGAAAGTGCAGTTTACAAATGTAGATTTTTTATTACATAACTGCACTCAAAAACAAAACAATGTGAAACTTTAGAGCCTACAAGTCTATTCAGTCCTACTTCTTGTTCAGCCAGTCGCTAAGACGAACAAGATTGTTTACTTTTACGGGAGATACTGCTGCCAGCTTCTTATTTACATCACCTGAAAGTGAAAACAGGCATTCACATGGCACTTTTATAGTCGGCGTTGCAAGGTACTTACGTGCCAGATATGCTAAACATTCGTATATCCTTTCATGCTTCAGCCACTATTCCAGAAGACATGCTTCCATACTGATGATGCTTGTTAAATAAATAATGCATTAATTAAATTTGTAACTGAACTCCTTGGAGGAGAATTGTATATCTCCTGCTCCGTGGTTTTATCTGCATTCTGCCATATTTATTATGTTATGGCAGTCTCGGATGATGACCCAACATATGTTGTTCGATTTAAGAACACTTTCATTGCAGATCTGACAAAATGCAAAGAAAGTACTAGTATGAGATTTCTAAAGATAACTTCAGCACTTGACCCAAGGTTAAAGAATCTAAAGTGCCCTTCAAAATCTGAGATGGATGTGGTGTGGAACATTCTGTCAGAAGAAATAGGACTGAGTGGACTTGTAGGCTTTAAAGTTTTACATTGTTTGATTTTTGAGTGCAGTTATGTAATAATAAAAAAAAATCTACATTTGTAAATTGCACTTTCACGATACAGAGATTGCACTACAGTAACTTGTATGAGGTGAATTGAAAAATACTATTTCCTTTTTACAGTGCAAATATTTGTAATAGAAAATAATATAAAGGAGAATTGTACACTTTGTATTCTGTGTTATAATTGAAATCAATATAATTGAATATGTAGAAAACATCCAAATATATTTAAATAAATGGTATTCTATTATTAACAGTGCAATTAATAACTTGTTTTAATCTCATGATTAACTGCTATTAATTTTTTTAATTGTTTGACAGCCCTAATTAGAACAACTGAATATGAACCTTTTTGATATGCTGCCCAAAGTTTGCTGACAACACTGGTGACAGAAGGGAGGTAGCAATTTTCAAAAGCTTTTATCACAGCCAAACTGGAATGGAATTTCATGAGACAAAGAAAAGGCACTTCTCCTTTATGAATTTCAAATACTTGCTGCAAACAATGATGCTGTTACAGTGTCTCTAGAAGAGGTCACAAGAAACTTTTATAACAGAAACAACCAAAATATTAGTATCACTACCCAGCTCTTGCTATACTTTTATTATATTACATATAATAGCCTATGTTGATCTTCTAAGTTGTAATGTAAATTTACCTCTGATTTCTTTCTTCATGGGTCTCCGGTTCACTTCTGGCTATAAAGCAAGATCCCTTTCATTTTGCTAATCGTGGATAAGACAACGCCACTCCATATAAGAGGGCAGGAAGTCGGGCAGGCATGATAAAGCAAGTGTTCTAGCCTGAATGCTGGAACACTGATATCTGATAAGGCTGGAGTAGGGGTGCTATTTTTGTTAGTTTGTACATAGGAAGAGACGATGGGCTTGTAGACCTTTTAGTTAATTGCTTGGTGAAGGAGATACAGGATTGAGGCACTTGCTAGCTTGAATGGGGAAAGAGGAAGAGAAACACTACTGCCTTTGTCCAAGTCAGAGTCCTACAGAACCACTGATGCTGCTCCTCTACCATCCAAGCCAGCAAAAGCCCTGAAGCCTTCACCTCCATGGAACCATCTGACACAGTTGGCATTTCGCTTCCCCTTACTGAGTTCCCTAACCAGTGGTCTGTCACACTCCCTGGAAACTCTTACCACCTCTCCCATTCAACACATTGTAGAAATTGTTCAACAGCCCACAATTTCTGTGATTATAATGGTGATAAGGTTCAGCAAGATATTGTGCGAGTTAGAGCCATCAGTGGGTGAATAATATTTGCATGCTTTTCTTAAAATAACTAAATATCAAAATAGATGATTATTTATTATTCGGTGCTCTGAGCTCATTCCTTACACTACCCCTTCGAGCCCTTTACCATCCAGTGTTCCAGTCCCACAGCAGACAAGACTCTACACAACAAGTTAGTTGTGTTGGTTTACTCGGCTTTTCAGTAAGTTACAAAACCGGTAGGTCATGTTTCATCTTAAATGAAAGTCAAGCATGAACAATTCACAAGTTATTCAAAATGATATAACATTAACTTGAGAAATTGCCCCTGTATAGAATTCCAGGATTAATGTAATCTCATTAAATGGAGAACACACACACACACACACACACACACACAAAACCACAGAATCTGAACAGATGAAAAGTACTTACCTCAAGATCTTTTTTAAGTCTCTCCTCTCGTTCAGTACTGTATTCAAGTTCACTGGCCTGTCGCCGGAGAATGTCAGTGCAGTCATTATGTTCCAGTTCCAGATCTTGTATTTTCTTATGCATATTTTGCAGTGCATTGTTCCGCTCCTGAAAACAATGTGCATTTTACTACAATACTTTATTTCAATAAGCACAGTCAACAAAGAGAAGTACCATAGGAGGTAAAGACTGATGGATACATTCGCTTCCAGGTTCTGCCAGCGGGAGTCTCTGTATAGGCCCCCAATGGCAAGAAGTCCACCTGAAGCAGAGAATAAAGATACCAGTGATGCAAGCTGCCACAACACCCCAATCAACCTGGGGATCTGGAAATGGTCACCACTGTCCAAAAAGTGGTGCTAGTTAGAGAAAGGCATGGACAGGGCACCTGAAATATGGGCTAATTCAGCATGCCACCAAAGTAGAATCCAATGGAGCGGCTCCTATAGAATACCAGCTATAAGTTAAAGTGTGGTTCAATTCTGAAAAGTTACTGTAAAAGGTTCCACGTTTTGAGCTTCAGCCAGTGAAAGACAATTTGCTCAGTTTACAAGTAAAAGGCGGGACAGACTGACAATATCCTGGACAAACCATATGGAAGTAAGATAAATTTTACTGAATCAAGTTGAATAACTTTGGTTTGCGTTGCATTAAAAAAAAAAGGCAATGTATTATTGTAGATTGTTTGTAACTTTTCTAGGGATGTGACTAATGTAAATGTTAGGAATTTCAAATAACTGTTTCACAATATACGTGAAGTGGGTTTCCTAGGAGGTAGTCGGGAGAAGCTAAACCCTGGGGAGAGACCCATTATCTACTATTATCTACTACTGGAAATTCCAGATCAAAGACCCCTGGACTGTATAAACGATGGATTAAACTTTGTGCTTGTTCTGAGCTGAAGCTCTGATGAATTTAGAACCACAAGAAAACCCTTTGGGGTGGGGGTTCTGAAGGATTGCTCCTGCCAGAGCCCATGTTAGGGGTGATCTCTGGTATGCTTATTAGCATGCACATAGATTCTCTTATTGTTTTTAGTAGGTTTTCTCTGTAGTGCTTTTTACCTTCTGAATAAAATAGGCTTGCACAGGAGATGCTGTGTGGTACCTTACTTAGTTATTAGTCTCTGAAGAGAAAGTAAGCAGGCCTGCTTAGGCAGGGTCTCTTGATGAGATATTACAGTATAGTCAGGAGCCTGTGCAGCCTGGAAGTACCCTGGTCTAAATGGAATGAGACATCTCCACTCAAGGGGATGGAGGATGATGGCCAGGAGAACCAGAAGCCTAGTGTGGGTGCCCTTGCTGGATCATAGAGGGGGAATATAAATGCAGTTGCCCTGAACTCTGACAAAAAGGTTTTTTTGTTTTTTTTCTAATTTCAGGCCCTGAAAACTCACTCTGAGATCTGAAAGTCAGACTGGGCTCTTTCCGTCTCACATAGCACCAATGACAAAAGGTTCTGAGGGCAAAATTATTTCCTCATTTATTCCTGTGCACCTCTTCACAAGTTAGTACAAGTAGAACTGATTGAAATCTAGTAAATAATTTGGTTTATGATAAATAAAAAGGAACAGACAGCTTTAGTCTCCTGCAGTTGTCTTGCCTTTGTAGGGCTAACAGAGTGAAGAGCAGCAAAAGTTTATTTTGTCACTAAAGTCAAGGAATACAGATGTGTGGGGTAAGAAGTTACCTTTTTTTTTAAATAAACAAAGTGACTCTTCAAAGTAGACTCACACTTAAAACTCTCCTTCTGCGGTATGTCAGGGAGCATGCAGTGTAAATACTACTTTGCTTTCTACCATTTTCTCCTGCCCCACAACATGGGTGGGGAGCACAATTCAAGACCCAAGTTTGTACTAAAAAACCTAAAACCATTGTGCGATTTTAGATTCTCTGGAGAACAGTTTCAGATCTGCACGTTATTATAAAGGTAAATGACTATTGCATATTACAATCAATTTAGAAAACTGATTATTGCACATTAGATTTGAAAGTGTGCACAGCACGCTGCTTTGTTACTTCAGCTAAAGTAACCTCAGTGTGTGATTATTGCTGTAATTCAACTGTCCTATATAAGGCTTTTTCCTTCATTAATTTCTAAAGGTGTTTTGTAACAAACGCATATAGCTCCTCTGTGAGAAGAGGACTGATTAGCTAGTTTGCCTGACAACGATTCAGCTGCAAGTTCAGGATATTTAAAACTGTGCTTAGTATCTGTTAATCGGTGTTGTTTTTGCTACATCCCTGTTTCTCAACGGATATGTCATAAGCTCAAGATGGGTCAAGAAAGGGTCACGGTCAGAATCAATCTTTAGAAAAGATAAAATTGGCTTTCTGCCTATTAGTGCTGAGCTGCTGCACTAACTCCCCAAGCCTTTACTCCCACCCCTGCCATCAGCTTCTCCACTGATGCAGGGAGTTTGACCTCCACTTCAGCATACGGAACTTCTCTTCAGCCAACAGGGCTCACTCAACACCTAGAGAGGTGCCTCCTTTTGGCTCCTCTCTCCTCCCTCTGCCCAGTATCCAGAGTTGCGGCTCCTTTTTAGGCCTCAGGGCCATCTTTTCCTTACGCTCAGGTAGCTCCCTAGATAGGAGTGTAAGAAACTTGGCTGGCTGGGTGGAAAGAGATGCTGCAAAGTGGGAGCGGGGGGGAAAAGGGAGCCAGAAAAGTTGAAATGAGCATGTTTTATGGGGGGAGGGGGGAAAAAAATCACAAAGTATGTATCACAATACAGCATGAGACAAATGTACAAAATAATAATAGCAAAGAGTCCCGTGGCACCTTATAGACTAACAGACGTATTGGAACATGAGCTTTCGTGAGTGAATACCCACTTCTTCATGACATGCATCCGAAGGAGTATTCACCCACGAAAGCTCATGCTCCTATACGTCTGTTAGTCTATAAGATGCCACAGGACTCTTTGCTGCTTTTAAAGATCCAGACTAATACGCTACCCCTTTGATACTTAAAATAATAATAATAATAAGTTGAATACTTGTGATACTGTACCACAAAAAACAAGACAAACCAATAGGAATAGGGAAGCAGTATTATTGGTCTTTTCTGCTCCCTCACTCTCCCAGAAAAAAAAGCAAAATTTAAGATGGATACTGTGGATATGATGTCATGAGCTAGTAAAAGCTGAGAATAACTGTACTAAAATAGCTGCATAATTTGCCGTATTCATTCTCTATACCTATCCTTCTGTCTCAAAACAGACTTCAAGTATTTCAAGCAGTAAACAGGCAATCAAGTTAACTTCATCAAGGTTTAACAAACAGTTTGTCCTTTTACAAAAAGAGGCTAAATTACAGAAATTTATTCTCTTGCTCAATTTCTTTATTTCCAACTGTTTCCAAATTGGTCAAGAAACAAGATGACTCTTCCTAAATATTGCTTCAGTGTCCCCAAAAATCTGCTATATATCTGATAACCACTTTATTATCATAACAGAGACTGAACAAAGGTTATACCAACCTATGTAAGATTAGGGAGTAAGTTTAAATCAAATGAAAACATACACACATTTCTAAAACTGTATCATGCACACATCTTTGACACACATTCTAAGACAAATCCAATCTCCCAGGTAGAGGGGAATTCTCAAAATGTGTAAAGCTTGCAGAGTCGCCCCTAAGCCAGTCTCCTCTCCCCGCCAGTTTAGGCGGGTATGGTTAGGGGAAGTGAACAAGGGGTAATGACACAGGTGGAGGGGCTCTTACCTCCTTAGGGCCCCTAGCTAGCTGTTCTATGCTATTGTACATCTGAATTGAGGCAACCTGAGACTCAGGGAGCTGTAACCAGCTTCCTGATGGTACCTTTTAATCTCCTTTCCTCCTGTGCCAAAATAAGCTTGGAGCAAGAGACAGAATTTCACCCACAGCCTGGAGGCAGACTTTTTTTTTTTTTTAAATGGCCTTTTAAGGCAGCAACGAGTAGATCATACTGAGCAAATATACTGCCTGGGTACAGCTAGAAAAATTGTAAAAGGTCTGTCTACTCTGGGATATTCATTTATATATTTAATAAAGAATAAGATAAGAGTTTATCTGAAATTTGAAATAATTTCCTATGTGAACAGTATGTGGTATGTTTCCAAATCCCAGCTGGTGAGATTGGAAAGGAAAAAAAAATATTTCTACTGGAAACTGATTCAACTGATTTTATCAATATTGTCTCCACAGGTTGTAAATAATTCAGGTTTCTGGAGATTTTGAGTAGGAATAGTTTTCTGTTTAGAAACTGATTGAACTATTTTACAAAACAGTCTAGGTGAACTATAAATAATTAAAGTTTATAGTACTATAAATTAACCAAGCTGTCATTGTTTAAATTTCTGCGTATGGTGAATGCACTACCAAACTAAACCACCACTGGGATCATTATTAATCTAGCTGCAGACACTCAGCAGTTCTATGGTTTTAGTGTGTTCTATAGCTGTAACTCTACAGATGATAAAAAAAGACCATCCAGGTAATAAGCCCCCAATATCCCTAGCATACTTAAGCAGGAGCTCCCAAAAGTGCCAGAAAGAATAGCTGTGGTTTGGAGGGCATCTCTAAGCTTTTCCATAACTAGTATCAGAAGCAAATCATAAATCCAGTGATTTAAATAGAGGAACTTTTGGAGACACAATTTGTCAAAATGGTTTTCTACGCAGAAAACAGCATGACTGCAATAAACACTCCTGTCCATTTACTCCGATTCAACACCAACAGAAGAGACACTTAGTAAAAAACAAACAAAAATTTACCAGAGAGACATGCATTCGGTGTTCAAATTCTGCTACTACGGCTAAGTCATGTACACTTATAGCTAGAAATTACTAATTATTGGGCATCTCCAAAGTGGGGAGGGGGAGAGAGAGAGAACTATTCACACAAGCGTTTATCAGAAAGTGAAGTCTGACAAGCCCTTACCCATGTGCAATGCTTAAGGAAACACAAGCCCTTTGTTAAAGTTTAAAATGGATTTCCTGAAACCAGTTCCAACTGAGTGTTTTAGAAACCTCAGTAAAAAAAATTGAACCACAAGAATGTAACAGAACTACAATAATTTTATCATGATCTAAAAGATTGAGATCCACCAAATGTAGTGAGACTAAAATTAGTTTAGTCTCTCTTTCAGTTAGGTTATTCATAGGCAGCATGCCATGGTTTCATTAGTGTCCCCTGGAAAGATGACCATTAGTGTAAAATGCATGTGAAAATATATGGGCAATTGGGACAAGGTATTATGGCACTGCTAAAAATAATCCAAACACTACACTAGAGAAAGTTTGAGCTAAAATCCTATTTTCTACTCTTGTGACACTGAAGTTAGCAACTACATGTTTATCAGTATGTTGGGAGATGCTTTTTGGAGCAAGTGATAATTATGAGAAATGGAGGAAAACTGAACTCTGAACTTGTCCTGGGTCTACATTAGCTGTGCATAAACTAATAGATATAGTATGGTCTTCACTATGGGGAAGATATATAGTGATATTGCTCCCTTTGAACAAACATCCCTTATATTCACAATATAGTACAGAGAACACTAAGGAGGAGGGAAGTTTGATGGGAAGTTCAATTACAATGTTATTTTAAGAATATTCTATCACGCAAGAGCCATAAGTATAGTTGACTTTTTTATTCACACATTATGGACTTTATCCTGAAGGTTACTGAGCTATCCTGCAAGTTCCCATTGAAGTTAGTGGGAGTTCAGGGCTCTCAGTAGCTCACAGGAGGGCTCCACAACTTGCAGAATCAACTCCTAAATGAGCAACGGTATCATGTATACTCAAAAGGTACAAGGATAATTTAACTACATAAGAGGTGCAGGCATGCTTACACAAAAAACCCTATAGTACTCACTGGGAAAGTATTTTCTAGGTTAACCACAAGGTGATGCTATTGCACTTATTACTGAATGTATGCTTCTTAGTTGTAAACCAGCTGGCATTCCAAGCACACTAGGGAGAGCCACACTGCAGTATGTTAGAAAGCAGATTATTCTCCCTCTGTCTCCTAGAGACACACTTCAATAGTTTAAGCGGGATTCATTTCTGTATCCTGTTATGGACATTAACTCCAAGCCTGTCTTCAAGAGTTTATGCAGTACATTGTTCCTCTAGCTTTCAATATACAGATTAAGGCCCACATTTTTAAAAGGAACCTCAACTTGTCCTTCAATTTCACACCCAATTATAACTGTGAGTACACAACTAGAGGTCAGTATTTTAAATGTAACTGCAAGTGCTCAATGTCAGAGAGACTGGCACACTTTTGCAGTCAACTTCCATGATTGTGTCCGTTTGCTGATTTTTTACTCCTTGTCAAATCTGGCTATCAAACAAAATAGAATTTAAAACTAAACCTCAGATAATTAATATCAACTAGTGACTGAGACAGTCAGAATATATTTAATAAAATCCATATTTACATGGTATCTTAGGAAGAATAGAAAGCCCATGAGGGAAAATGCAGATTCAAATCAAAGTAGTGAAGTAATATGGGGAGAATACAGCCACCCTGTGAGGAAAGGCGCCTGCTGGTGCTACTGGGTAAAGACACTGAAGCTCAGGACTATTCTAGGAATGCAGAGCTACCATCTTTACTCCAGCTGATCAGCAACCCTACCTCCTTGACCTCTGCACATTCAATATGGGGGACCCCTCCCAACCAGCCCCATATCTTTATTCCACCATATCCCTTTCAACTTTAAACTAATCGGATTATAGATGTAATGTTCAGAGTTCCTCTCCTCCAATTCCATCATAGACCTTCTCCAATCAGATTCCTGCCACTTGCACTTGACTGTAACTGCTCTTACCATAGTCTCTGATGACCTCTTTTCCTATACAAAGCTCAGAACCAGTACTCCATCCTCATTCTTCTTGACCTGTCAACCCCTCTGGCACAGTCAACCATACTTCTCTTGAAATCTTGTCCTGCCTTTGCTTCCATAACTCTGACCTGTCCTGGTTCTCTTTCACCTCTCTAATTATTCCTTCTGCATATCCTGTGGAGGTTCCTCCTCATCTGCCTCGATCTTTCTGTGGACGGGAGTCCACAGAGCTCTATCCTTGGTCTCTTTATCTTCTCCCTCTACAATTTAGGGTAATCTCAACCACAAATTCAACTACCATCTCCATGCCGATGACTTACGGATCGACCTCTCTACTCCAGACCGGTTTCCTTTCTGTCCCAGCCTGTCTCTCTCTCTGACATCAAGTCATTGATATCTAGCCATGAGTAAAGCTCAACATCACTAAAACAAAGCTCCTAATCACCTTAATCCCTATTACTTCCTTTCTCAATCACTGGACAACACCACAATCCTGCCAGCCATTCATGCCCATAACCTGGGCATCTTCTTTTTAAAACTCTTCCTTAAAACTCTCCTTTGCCATGATGCCACAAAAAACATAACAGTTGGGCCACTGATGCACCAATACACCAGTGTATGTATTGCCTCTATGCTGACAAATATGATTTCATTGTCTCGTTGTACTCACCAATTTGTCTGTCGTCAAATGTTGTCTCTTATCTTATATTTAGCTTGTAAGCTCTTTGGGGGCATGGACCATTTTGTTCTGTGTTTGTACAGCACCTAGCCCAACTGGGTCTTATCACAGGGTCCACTCACCAGGGCGGCACTTCCTGGTGGCTGTCACAGGGATTAGCTCTGCCAGCCAGTGCACCCTCTCCTCTTCCATCATCATCTACACCTGCAGATCTGCCTCAAGCCAAGTACTGCAGCATCCTCTTCATGACTCAGTCCTCAGGCCAATCATCATCTGTATTTTCCCCTTCCAGGTTTCAGTCAATTATTCTAGCCACTTCCCACATGGCTAATGGGGGGGACCCAGGCCCACTCACTACTCCAGGTCCTAACGCAGAGAGCCTGTAGATATCAGCCTCCTGCTGAGTCTCCTTAACTTCCTTCAATGCTGCTTCAATTCCCTAGGCTGCTTTCCCACAGCAGCAGGACCTCCTTCACCCTTTCCTCAGGGCTTTCAAGCTAGCAAGTCCCAGCAGCCAGCCAGGTCCCCGGGTCCCTGCCAGCAACTGCTCTGTCCAAGGTGTTATCCTTGCTGCAGCTTGCTAAGAACACAGTCCTCGCTCCTTAGGCTCCCAGCTGCAACTGACCCTTGCTCTACCCTGCAGCTCCTTTTGTACTAGCCCACTGGGCCCTGATTGGCTGCTCTGTACAGCCTCTCTCCTATTGGCTGCTTCCTGCACAGCCTCTCTAGGCTGCTTGGAGGACTTACTTCCACTGCTCTTTTATGGGACAGAGTGTGGAAGGTTCATGAGGCCTCTATTAACCCCTTCTATTCTTGTATGGGGTAAACGAACACCCCATCACAGGTCCTTATCTATGACTAGTGTCCATGTTCCTACTGCTATTGTTATTACTACTACTACTAAGGGGCTATCCATAAATTACATAACACATTAAAGGGTCGGTGGGTCCTTAATTGTGCATGTTCAGTATTAGAAAGTTTTACAAGGGACAGCTGTGTGGGTCCTGAAAATCCCCAAAAATGTGTTATGTAACTTATGGACAGCCTCTAATAATACAGGACCTTCAGAAGTAGAAAAAAAGAAATGAATGCTACCCAGGAAAGACACATATACACTGCACGCAGCACCAGAACCACAGCACCACCTTGATTTCTGCTCATCATTTCACCAGCACAGCACCATTTCTAGGTCCTACCTTCAAACAGAAAGAAAAGGTAGTTCTGGGAATCAAATACAGGAAGTGATTCTCCCTGCTCCATCCCCTATACATTGCTCCTGAAGTCACAGCAAAAATCTTACCCAGGATCTAAATTTAAACCATTTAGTTAAAAGAGTTTGGGATTTCTTAGGTAAATTAAAACAAACAAACAAACAAACAAACACCACCTCACATATACTTCCGGACTTATTTACAAAGAGTGGTATGGGTCAATAACCATGTTCTAAAGTTACACAGAAGAAGATTCAGCATTTTTAATAAAGTTAGAGAAGTAGAGTAAATAAAGTTTCATTATGGGGCATTTCATCCAGCACTTGTCTAATGTAACTACTCAGACTGGCTTTGTAGTCCTCCTACTTGTTGAATCAGAACAATTCTTAATACAGCTTCTGATACAAATAGGGACATAGTAATTGTTCCATCGGGACACTGCAGACATTTGTTAAATGCATAATATAATGTGTACCTAAATATCACTGTTATCATAACTAAAGCCTCAAAAATAGGGGTCTGAATGTTTGGGAACCCAGTGATTTAGTGATATGACTGAACTTTTCACCTCTAGCTTAACTGATCTGAATTCGGCTCAGGTAAATAGTAACCAAGATTTATCTGATGGCTCTTCAGTGACCTATGCAAAATAATTGTAATGGTCAGAGACAATGTCCACTTCAGAGTCAATTACACAACCGGCATGCTTGTTGACAGTCTCAGAAGAATGGCCTGGGTTCAAATGGAGATGAAAAATTAATTGCCTTCTCTTTAAAGGGGAAGACCCACTGTACTGGACTTTCTCCTGCACAGAAGAAAGGGACATTGATTTTAAGAAAGGTACTGCTGCCCATTCTTACCTACTCTGTGGATAAATGGTGGACTTCAATCTCCAGGGATCAAATAGGCCACCACCTTTCAAAATTACTATATTCACAAGATTTTTAAAATTAACTAAAGCCTTGACAGCTATTAAATGATCTCCTTATTAATAAAATAAATTAAGTGATAGTATTATGCTTGGCTTATACTATGTACATAATAGGCATTTTTTTAGTTAGTGCTTTACTATAAATAAAATACCTGCAACATAAACTGGAACTCTCTTCTTTCTGCTTCACACTGCTCTAACTGAAACCTGAACTCCTTTAATGCTGTCTCTCTGATTTGCAATTCCATCATATTCCTCTGCTCCTTGTGATGCTCCAGAGTCTCCTTGATGTAGATAGTCTTGTTTTATTATTAAATCTCATAAAAAGTTTTAAAAATCCTATTTAAAAGTGTTACATATAATATCAAATCTACTGTGCCTCAAAGAACCTTGCTGTCTAGCCTTACAGACATATAGACCTTGGCTGAAAGTATATTTAAAAATTCACTTCCATGACTAGTGTCTTACTAGTAGGCTTACATGGATTGGAATTTAGCATCTGGGCTACCCAAGACCAAGAATGCTTCATGTTACTTCTCAGAGCCCCCTACTGCTAGCTCAAGAATGGAGTTGATTGGATTGGAAGAAACCATGTCCAGCTGTTCTCAGCTAAATGTGAAGTCTTAAAGGGAGAAATAAAAGAGGAAAATGGGAATATCCAAGATTCTCCCCCCTTGTCTAAATACATGAAGATGGGCTTTAAAGGAGCGATCAGCTCTTTTTCTCTCTGGCTATGTCATGTTTGTTGACAGTCACTTCTTCACTTCACAAGAACCCCTGTGGCTCCATTCCTTAAAAGCATAAAGAACATTTATGTATTCAAATATAAATAACAACATTTGAGGGGAAAGGATCTAATATGTCTGTAAGTCAGTTTTATGTAATTTGGGACCACAAACACTAAAATGCCTTAATTATCAGGCATGCCTACCTTTGAACTGGGAGATATGATTTAGCTGAGCTGCCACCCGTGTTACCCCAGCTACACTGCTATTTTTAGTGCACTAGCTTCAGAAGACCTAATGCTGGTATATCTACACAAGCTGGGACTCACAGCTTCAGTTCAAATGCAGATGTACCCTGTTGCACAGTTATTGCAAGATGTCACCACAGGGCACAATAAAGTTGTTTGGGTGCCTTAACTGTGTATTTTCATACCTTAATCTGTTTGGATATCTCTTAAGCATAACCCTAACTTTTAATTTCCAGGGTTTGTACTGAATGGGTATGGAATAATTACATCCTTGTTAAGTTTTTTTTACCCTTACATTGCTTATATATACTCTTAATCTTAACTCCATTTTAACATTTTTTGTTGTTGTTTTGGAATACAAATTAATGCAAAGACTTATTTGAACAGCAGCATGCAACTGCAATATAAGAAGAAGCCTGGCAATCTGTCTTGATGTATTAGGCGTTTTTGCCAAATGGCAGGACATTTTGACACCAGCAGTTCACCACCACCTGCAGAAATGCTAACGTAGACAAGGCACTGAAAGGCATCAGTATCTTAACCACTGTGTCATCCTGCTCTGAGTGTTTAGATCACCAGCAACTAACTCGAGCCCTATCTACACTAGTATTTCCACTGTAGCCACCAGTGAAGCTTCTCACCATTTCATACAGGCCATATACAAAATTCATTTTTTTAAAAGTAAGTAACTTTGGAGACTTTTTTATATAAGAATCAGCAACTCAGGAGTTGTATATTGCTACAGTATAACCCTCAAAAGGAAGAAAGATTGTACTTTTGTAAGCCTATGCTGAAATATTTCACATTCTATGGAACATTGAATTTTTTCTTTTGTTCAGAAAAAAATTACTCATGCACAGATAAAAGTCCAGACATTACGTCACTCCGTTCATTACTTGTATTTAAATATTATACCTGTATAACGTTTTCCAGTTTAGTCCTCTCCTTCAGAAGTAACTCATATTCACTATTACAGGTCTTAAGGATGTTATCTTTCTCCTCTAAGTCATTTGTAAGTCTTTGCTGCTGTTCCTTCCAATTCTGCTGAGAAATATGAAACACTTTCTCGGTCTCAGCCAATTTCTGTTGAAGCTCTGCATTCATGGCTATTATTTAAAAGAGAAACATCATCTGCTAAGTTAATTTTTTTTTTAAAGAAGGTAAAACCAGTGTTAGCTCTCCTATGTATTCCGATTCTTTAAGCATAGAACAGAAAAAGGGTTAGAATAGTAATGATTCTGGAGCTGTAGATTACTTTTGATCTATACTGTAGAAATAATATCAATATTTTGCAGTTCTGTAGCATCTTTCATACAGAGATCTCAAAATGCTTTACAGACTTTAATAAATTGAACCTCACAACACCTCTAGGAATAGTTAAGAATTACCTCCATTTGTAAAAAGAGAGACTGAAACATGGAGTGGTTAACTCAATAATAGTTCATTCCCCTTGCCCAAGTGATTTCCATGTTTTGTTTTGGGTATCGCTTGTACACAGATATAACGTTTTGTATCTCCTTCGCTATGTCTTTTTACTTGGCTTTCTTTCTTCAGCTTCAACTCCTGTCTTCACCTTAACTTCCTTCAACCCAATTCAATATTGATAGTCTGCTAACAGAATAGAGTATCCTTCGATGAAAGCTCTACCAACTACATCTCCCTTCTAAACTGGTCATCCTAGTATCCATTACATACCATCTAGAAGCTAGGAACGCACCACATCTGCCTTCTGTCACATGTATAACTGTAACACTGCCCCGCCCAATACTCTAGCACTCTTCCTTTCAACCATGATTCATACTGCCTTCTCCTGTCTCCAACTACTGTAATTCCCAGCTCTCTAAAGATCACTATGTGCAATAAGGGGAACACATAGTCTCTGTATCCCCAAATCTTAATTAGTTTTTCATTTCGTTCAAAATCCAGTATAAAATTAATCAAAGGATCAATTCCCTTACCTAATCTCAACTCCCTTTTCTAACAATTTTACTCTCTGAATACCAGACTTCCTTCTGTCTCTTTCCCTGACCCCTCCACACTGGGTATAATAGATCTCTCTCCCTCACTGCCTTCCCATAGAGGCTGTGAACAGACTCTCTATATTTCACTTGATTTTCTTAAAAGCCCATCACAGGACCCAACTCTTCTACCTGACTAACTCTTAGCCCACTTAAAAAAAAACAATCCTAAATTATTCTGGGTATCTTTGTTGCCCCGTATGCAGTCTCCCCGTCCTAACTTAGCCTCTTTAAAAATCCTCTTATTCTGCAGGAAACATTTAGACCCCAACACTACAACTCCATGCAAGTGATTGGGCCTCTTTACACTGACCCAGAGCCTCAGTGACTTCAGTGAAGATTCGCACTGGGGTATACATGTGCAGGAGCTATCGAAGATCCTGAAATATAAGTTAGACTGGACAGAAAAGGAATACATTTTCTAAAGAAACTCTCTGTTGTTAAAGGAAGCTCAACCTACATGATAGGAAACCCCATGCAGGATAGGATGGTATATTATAGAGTCAAGATTGTATGTATTTGTGTTTGTACTCCTGCCCTAAACTAAACTAAAGACGCTGTCAGTATGGTTTGTTGAAACCCATGTTACTATTACTATTTTACGTATATGGCTGTTCAGCTACGAAGTAATGGTTCATTTTTCAGATGTGGATTTCATATTAACCTAACTTTACATTATTTCAGTTTCTCATTTTACTTAATGCACAGTGTGGTACTGAGAGGTAACTGAGCACAACTTTCAGATACAGAGATCTTCACAAGTTCCTCCCTTCCACTATCATTTTCTGCTTTCTTCTAAATTTTAAAAAGTGCAAAAGAAAAGATTTTCTAAAAAAGGTTACAGACAGGATAAACTAGGGGGAAAAGATAATGAATGGCACAAACTAAAGGTTGCCAGAGGAGAAAGGAGAATCCATAGAAAAGACTTAGGGTTGCCAACTTTCTAATCGCACAAAACCAAATACCCTTGCCCCACCCCCTTCCCAGGGGCCTCTTCCCTTCTCCGAGGCCCCTCCCCCTGCTCACTCCATCCCCCCTCCCTCCATCGCTCGCTCCCCACCACCCTCGCTCACTGGCTCATTTTCACTGGGCTGGGGCAGGAGGTTAAGGGATGGGGGGGCTGTGAGGGCTCTGGCTGGGGTGCAGGATGAGGCTCCAGGCTGGGGCCAAGGAGTTCAGAGTGTGGAAGGCAGCTCCACGCTGAGGCAGAGGGTGGGCTCTGGGGTAGGACCGGGGATAAGGGGTTTCGAGTACAGGAGGGGGGCTCCGGGCTGGGACCAAGGGCTTTGGAGTGCAGGAGGGGGTTCAGAATTGGGGCAGTGTGTTGGGGTGCAGGAGGGTGTTCAGGGTGTGGGCTCCAGGAGGGAATTTAGATGTGGGACGGGGCTCAGGGCTGGGGCAAGGGATTGAGGTAGGAGTGTAGGGTGCGGGCGGCACTTACTTCAGGCGGCTCCTGGAGGCGGCAACATGTCTCTCGGCTCCTAGGTGGAGGTGCGGCCAGATGGCTCTACGCGCTGCCTCCACCCACAGGTGCCGCCACTGCAGCTCCCACTGGCTCCTAGCCAATGGGAGCTGAAGAGCCGGTGCTCGGGATAAAGGGGCAGCGCATGGAGCCCCCCCTGGCTGGGCCTCCGCCTAGGAGCAAAGGGACATGTCACTGTTTCTGGGGTGCGTCAACCAGATTTTTAATGGCTCGGTCAGCGGTGCTGGCCGGAGCTGCCACAGTCCCTTTTCAACTGGGTGTTCCCATCAAAAACCAGACACTTGGCAACCCTAGGAAGACTGCAAGCTCACAGAGGGGTCCATCTAATAAAGCATTAAACCACTGAGACATTGGCCATTAAAGCAGCAAGCAATCAAGAAAAGACTAGAGAAGGCTCCAATCCCCTGGGGAGAATGAATGTTAAGCCATAAACTGATAGAGAACAGAGAAGAAAAGAGTCAAATCAGGATTATGTTGCATCAGCTAATTAGTTCTTTAAACCTAGAAATAAGTCACAAAACAAGATTTTGACAGCTGGCACTTTAGGTAGATTGTGTCTTACAATGTTCAATGATTAAATAGGAGATGCTGAAAAGCTGATATTTAAAAGAATGCTATGATTAGTAGGTATAGGAAGGAACATAGTGAACTTTTCTATAAATAGGAAACTAACAACTAGGTCTTTAGCTTGCAGTGTTTAATAATGGCTTGCAAGAGAAACCATATTGCATTTGTGCCTCCCCCCCTTCTCCTTACAATGTATATGGCACCCCTGAAAGCCAAAGGATTTTTAATTATTTCAAGGAAGTAGAAAGATCAACTTGGCTGGTATTTCTAAGGTAATTGCCATGTCAAATCCAGTGTTCTTTCTTGGAAAACTCAAAAATATGTATTAAGAGCATTCTAGACCCTTAATTGAATGAGTGAGGTTGTTGAATCCTTAACATAGATATATTTTATCCTAACTTTTTAAACTAAAAAGGTGGTGTTTTTTAACAAAAACAAATCACTTCTCTTTTCAGTCCTAAACTTACCAGTTCTCCATTCATCCACTCCGTCTTTCAAAGTATATTAAACCATATAAAAGACAAGTAGAAAAAAGCTTCATTAAAAACAAAACCTACACACCATTCTCAATCCTCCTTTACACGTTACAAGTGAACAACCCCCCCCTTTTTTTTTAAACTTTGCAGGTTACTTGTAATGTAAGGAATGTTGCATGGAAGGAGAATAAAGAATGGGAGAAAAAGAAGTTGAAAATGACAGCTGAGAGATAGACAGATGAGCAGAAGAAGCTTAAACTTCTTGCAGAAGTCAGAAGAAAGATTCAAAGAGAGTGGTGTTGTGTGATGCTTTGGGAAATTATGTACATAGGATGTTTGATATTATGAACGCTGTGTGTATCTATATCAAATTACAAACTCCATTTTGATGGTACGGCTAGTCTGTGCTTTCTCTGCTGTTTTTTACCTCCATCTTTGGAGGAAAATTTCAAGGGGTGGTTACACCAGGCTAAAAATGGAGCTAAATCTTGATGATGAGCCATTCAGATAGAGCAGTGGTTCTCAACCAGGGGTCCGGGGCTTCAGGGGGTCGGCCAAGCAGGGCCTGCAGGGCTCAGGATGGAAAGCTGAAGCCCCACTGCATGGGTCTGAAGCCCAGGGCCCTGAACCCCATCACTTGAAGCTGAAGCCTGAGCATTGTAACTTCGTGGGGGCCTCCTGTGGCGTGGGGCCCTGGGCAACTGCCCTGTTTGCTACCCCCTAACGCTGGCCCTGGCTTTTGTATGCAGAAAAACAGTTGTTGTGGCAGGTGGAGCGTGGAGTTTTTATAACATGTTGAGGGGGCCTCAGAAAGTAAAAGGTTGAGAATCCCTGAAATAGAGCACTCAGACGAAAAGATGGCTGTGATGGGGCATATGCCCCACACTGAGCTCTAAGGGGTTAACAGAGCCCTAGGGAGGCTGTGCAGGAGGCAGCCAATCAGAGAAGGGCTGAAAGGAGCACCCAATCAGGGCCAAGCAGGCACATGTAAAAAGGGAGCTGCAGGACAGAGGAAAGCAGTTCTCTGCTGGAAGCTCAAGGAGGAAGGACTGTGTCTTGAGGGCTGAGAGAATTGCCAGCCCCCTGGACAGAGCAGGGACCAGGGCAGCGAGAGACATGTTTGCAGATGGAGGCCTGAGGTAAGGGCAGAGAGGATGCTGGGGCCACAAGGAAGTATTGGCTGCAGTAGCCACTAAGGAAAGTGGCTGAACAGCGGACTGCAGGTCCCCTGGAAAGGGGGAAGCACAGTGTGTGGCACAGCCGGAGGGCTGTGTTGCTGAAGAGGATGCCGTGGCCCTTGGAGATACATGGGTCCTAGAGCAGGAGTGACAGTGGTGAGGCACTACCAGAAGAGGGTGCACTAACATGCAGAGCTAATTCCCAAGACAGCCAGCAGGAGGTGCCAGAGTGGTGAGTGTACCCTGTTACAATGGCCATCGTCCAGAGCAAACCAGTTTTTCAAGTCTGAACTCCAGGTGGGCTGGTAACTAAGGAATAGATCAATTGCTGGGAGACTATGGTCATCAGATGAAGCTGATCAATGGGTTGGTCACCTGACAAAGGGGACAGGAGGTAATAAAAAAAACTTTCCCATCAGCCATTTCAAAGGGGGGGGGAGGGGAGAAGGAGATGATGATGCTGACGACAGCTAGTCTAGACTCCATATTCCAGAAGAGAAGCCATGTGCAGGTGGGAAGGGGAGAGAATGTGACCTAATCCCAAAGAACATCTCAAAAGTGGTGAGGAAACTGAGGCAGGGAAATACAAAAAGGCACTTTATTGTTTTGTCTAGCTATGTATATATCCTGTGCTATCTAAAGTAAAGAGTGATTGGTTTTGGAATCTCTTATGATGTCTGTGTGTTGTATGCTTCAACTATTAGGTAAACTGTAACCTATGGTGCCCACAAACTTGGAGCTCTGGGAGTGCCTAAGGTACTGGATGGCCCATGGAGGGGTCAGCACTAGTTCTGAGAGATTAGGGCAGGTGCACTGTGAGGTCCCACTTCTGTGAAGGGGTGACAGCCTGTGCTTAGGAAGTATGCTGTAGGCCACTCTGAGACTACTCTGGAGCCTATTCAGGTTCAGGCAGCTTACCACACACAGGCCTAGCATGGTGGAACTTAGAGAACTCATCAAGTTGTTGTATTTACTTGGAGCTTTACCAGAATTGTAACTCATTATTAGAGTCGCAGGGAAGAAAGAGAAGCAGTTTTATAAGAGTTAGAAATGAGATACATGTAGACCAGAGAAACGACCAGATAAGAAGTGACCAGGCACGCACAAAGGTTTCTACAATAGAAATGGAGAAGAAAGGAAGAACTACAAGATATAGTAACAACCTAGATGTGGGGAGAGAAGGACAAAGGAGTCAAATACCACCAAAGATATGTACCTGGACAACAAGGATGATAGTGGAATTTGACTATGATATAAAGGATAGATCAAGAGAAGAGTTGGTCATGAGTGGGGAATGGAGAGCTGAAGGAGAGGAGAAGGGAGTTTTAGTATGTTTATTTTAATTTGGTAATGGGATATCCAGGATAGTTTCACAAAGGGAGTTGGAGAGGAGGCTGGAAATATAAGGTAGAGCTAAAACCAAACCAACCCAAACCAGTGACGACTAAAGAACCAAATTAAGTCACTGCATCCTAGTTGTCTGCTTGACTCATAATACTGAGGCTCTGGACTAACAAATTTAGTCACTGCTGGGTGTTTAAAAGTTTTTGAAACATACCTTGCAGCTGCTGAAATCGATTGCTAGCTTCACATAACTTTTCCTCTGCAGAGTATCTTTCAAGACCAGCATCTTTTCTGGCAATGACCAGTTCATACTCCAGACTTTGTCGAATGGCCTCTCCTTTCTCAACTTCAGATCGCAACCTGGCAATCTGGCTTTCATAGTTGGACAGCTAGAAGAGGAATCCGTTTTAGAAACTATTAATGTATCTATCATTAATTATAAAAACTTATGTATTAACTTTTCAAAGAAACACTAATAAAGAGAGGTGTCAAGTATCAGAGGGGTAACCGTGTTAGTCTGAATCTGTAAAAAGCCACAGAAGGTCCTGTGGCACTTAAGACTAACAGAAGTATTGGGAGCATAAGATTTAGTGGGTAAGAACCTCACTTCTTCAGATGCAAGAAGTGAGGTTCTTACCCACGAAAGCTTATGCTCCCAATACTTCTGTTAGTCTTAAAGGTGCCACAGGACCCTCTGTTGCTTAATAAAGAGAGGGATTTTCCCCCCAGGTCAGATTGGTAGTGACCATGGGGAAGAGGAGTAAAGGGAGGGCTTGTCTTTCTTTGCAGCATGTGGGTGCAGGTCACTTGCCAGAATTATCTGGGAATATCTCACAATCAATTCCCTGCCATTGCAGGGTCCTCAGGCATTGGAGCACCTTTCTCCCTCCTATTCTCTCCCTGTGGCAAATAACACTCTAGTCTCCTGTGGGCTGTAGTACTTTGGTCTAATTTCCGTTGTTGGGTTTAGTTGTGGATGCTGGGTGGTGTTGGTGGCCTGTGATCTACAGGTCACACTAGATGATCTGCTGGTCTCTTTTAGAGTCATAGAGTTTATGGACAGAAAATTTTAAAAGTTTCTAGATTTTATTTCCACTTAAGTCAAAGACAAAACACTCATTGGATTCACTTGTGCAGGGTTGGGCCCTATGGGTATTGTATACACCAGGGATTGGCAACCTTTGGCACGTGGCCTGTCAGGGAAATCCGCTGGTGGGCCGGGACGGTTTGTTTACCTGCAGCATCCGCAGGTTCGGCCGATCACAGCTCCCACTGGCTATGGTCCGCCATTCCAGGCCACGGAGGGGGGAGGGGAGGGCTGTGGGAAGTCGTGGCCAGCACATCCCTCGGCCCACGCTGCTTCCCGCAGCCCCCATTAGCCCGGAACGGTGAACCGTGGCCAGTGGGAGATGCAAGCAGCCGAACCTGCGGACGCTGCAGGTAAACAAACCATTCCGGCCCACCAGCGGATTTCCCTGATGGGCCGCATGCCAAAGGTTGCCGATCCCTGGTATACACTGAGGTTGGAGGTGTGATTGCAGAATGGGTTTACTCTTTAATCTATCTAGCACACCTAAAAATATCAGTGAAGACCTGACAGAACGGGCTGTACAAGCTCCCGAGGGGCCCTGGGTATGAACCTGTGTTGCTAGGCCATACTGAAACATGTGCTGTAATATCTTCACTGCTAATTTTAGCTGTACTAACTAGATTAATGCTCGTGCAGGTATGCCAACATGTGCTGCAATCACACCTCCAATTGCTGTGTAAGCATACCCTAAAATATGGCAATGAATGTCAATGGATACTAGTCCGGACATCACAATCAAGGGGTTTTATTTATTTGTTTTAAAAATGAACTCATCCAATAACTTTTTGTAAAGCAAATATAAATACTAACATTCCTTTGTTCATTTTCTAAAAATCATGTGGAGTAGCTGAAGAAAATATGTAACTTGATAATATTGCTCTCTCCTCCCTTTAAATAAATGGTTGCAAATGAGGTAAACATTGCATCCAAGTGGCATTTTGCAGGTGTACTTACTTAGAGCTTTTGCATCAGCATTTTTTTCAGTTTGTTAAATCTGAGCATGCTGACAATAATCAGACTAATAATAACCACCCAGCAGCATAAATACTAATATACAATTAACTCCATCAACAACAATAAATAATCAAATGGAAACAACAATTTAACTCAGCCAGATGACAAATTATTAAAAAAAAAAAAAAAAAACTTAGGAATGTACATTCATCCTTCCCTTCCCCCCGGCCACCCGCCAAATCCTATCAAACAAATGGTTTTGCAGAGTGCTCAGAAAGTCATCAATTTCAGACTGGGAGAGGGCAGGGGCAATTTCTGGAGTCCCAGGGCCCTCCCGGAAAATGCCGTCAGCAGCTCCCTCTCTTTTATAACAAAGAGGTTCCAGCAACTATGTAGGGTTGCCAACTTTCTACTCGCAAAAAACTGAACACCCTGCCCTGCCCCTTCTGAGGCCTCACCCCTCACTCACTCCATTCCCCCCTCCCCCCATCACTCGCTCTCCCCACCCTCACTCTCTCATTTTTACTAGACTGGGTCAGTAGGTTGGGATGCAGGAGGGGGTGAGGGCTCCGGCTGGGGATGTGGGCTCTGGGGTGGGGCCAGGGATGAGGGGCTTGGGGTGCAGAAGGGGGCTCCGGGTTGGGGCTGAGGTGTTCAGCGTGTGGGAGGGGGCTCTGGGCTGGGGCAGGGATGCAGGGGGAGTGTGACGGCTCTGGCTAGGAATGCAGACTCTGGGATGGGGATAGGGATTTGGGGTGGGTGCTCCTGGCTGGGACCGAGGGGTTCAGAGGGAAGAAAAGGGGATCAGCACTGAGATAGGGGGTTGGGGCGTGAGGGAACTGGGGTGGGGCTGAGGATGCAGGGGGAGTGTGAAAGCTCTGGCTAGGAGTGCAGACTTTGGGATGGGGCTAGGGATGAGGGGTTTGGGGTGCATGAGGGTGCTCCGGGTTGGGACTGAGGGGTTTCGAGGGCGGAAAGAGGATCGGGTCTGGGGAAGGGGGGTGGGAGGGGGTCAGGGGTGCAGACTCCAGGCAGCACTTACCAAAAAGCAACTCCCAGAAGCAGCGGCACGTGCCCCCCTCCAGCTCCTATGTGGAGGCGCGGCCAGGCGGCTCTGCGCGCTGCCCCGTCCGCAGGAGCCACCCCCACAGCTCCCATCGGCCGCGGTTCCCGGAGCTGCAGAGTCGGCGCTTGGGGCGGAGGCAGCATGCGGAGTCCCTGGCTGCCCCTGCACATAGCAGCCGGGGGGGGAGGGGAGGGGGACATGCCACTGCTTCAGTGAGCCTCACAGAGCCTTAGCCCTGCTGTGCTACCAAGCGCACTTTTACTGGCCCAGTCAGCAGTGCTGACCGGAGCCACCAGGTCCCTTTTCAACCAGGCGTTTCAGTCGAAAACCGGACATCTGGCAACCCTACAACTATGGCAGTACATCACAGGGAAAGGAGCAGTCTCTGAAGTAAGGTCTTAGGCCATTGGGAACTTCATAGTCACTGTGACCTACACCTTAAACAGTTCATCACTGTAATTGCCCATACAACTGCAAGTGATTTTTAGTGTCTACACATTTTGTCTGTATGCATACAGACTTTAAATAACCTCCTTTGGTCACAAGTAACTGCCCAAGGTTACCCAGGAAAACTGTACAAAGTTGGAAAAAAGAATCCTGGTCTAACTCCCTGTGCCACCTGAACTTCCTTTCCCCACAATAATCTGAGCTTGAAAATTGGGTACAGAATAATGAAAACCCTTTCTACCCTGGTGTTTGAACCATGATTAAAGAGACAAAATCAACTTAAAATATGAAGCTTCTGTCTGAATGTTATTATTGTAACGAGACCCTAAGATTGTTATAACTGAAAGATTAAAGAAAAGGGTTTCTTTTTAGTTTCCTTAACTTCCCTCCATTGTCAGTCTTCACTGTTTCAGTGAAAAAAAAGAGCCAGGAAATGTGGTTGTTAAACCACAAACATTAGTTAAAGTGCTCAAAGGCAGTTACTGTACCCAAAATTAACTAATTTTATTTTTTTAATTACTAGATTTTAAGTTGGTGCCCTTTAAAAACAGTCTGAACACTCTTTTAAAAAAAAAAACATTACCAGCGAAACCAGTTTCAAACCTGGTTCAAAAATGGTATTTGAAAACAATGTTCAGCCAAGCCATATTTGAAATATATTTTAGCTAGAACAGATCCAAAACCAAATTCAAACTCAGTTTTGAAATATGGTTCACCGCCTAGTGCACCCAGGACCTTGGAATTCCTTTCATACTGAGATATTTTGCAAAAAAAGTTTGGGTTGCTAGCCATCACCAAGGTTTTCAAAAACGTAGCACAAACTTCTCAGGCTAATCAGCCAACAGACCACTGGCAGCTGCTAACATGTTTACTAGGATTCCCTACATTTTGACCATTTTGGGGGCTGAACTAAGTGATAGCAATAGTGGGACACTTTTTTTTAGAAAACTTTTTTAGTGTAGATGGGTCCAAAGTTGATTACCACTGCTTCTATACTCACTGTCAAGTTTACTTTTTAATATACATGCTTTATACTGCTAAGCTTGATGTTCAAGTTTATTTTAATAGATTTTTTTTTTAATCTTCTCTCCATTTCTCTACTGTTCCTTTATTTCAATACTTAAATTTTAAAACATTTTTCAAGCATAAGTTTTTTTTAAGATACGCTAAAAGTGAAATCACTCAAAGGAAATATTCATTAAACAACACATGCAAGTAAGTCGACAATCATCATAATATTCTTCTATACATTTTATGAAAATATTAATTATGTGGAATTGCAAAATTACACAAGCTGAGCAGTTGCAAGCATTTTAAGGTGTGTCCAATTTGGAGATTTTTGTTTTTGCACCAACTTAATTTACAAATTACAATGGACTTCCAGCTGGATTGAAAACATAACCTGCATTCAAATTCTAATGGCCTGCAAAATAAAAAACAGCTTATTAAGAAGACTGACTTGAGTTGTATCTTGTAACCATGTATACTATTAGGCAATCCCAGTCAGTGACTTATTAGTGGAGGCAGCAATCCTCTACCCTCATCCACCTGGAAAGTGACACTTCATTTGATGCCACTTATTACTAACCATTACAGCTGTTGTCAGAGCCATTATTAAATAAAGTGAGACATTCCATACAGAGTTTGTGGATATAGGTAAATAATTTCCTCTGATTCCAGTAAGGATTTTTTTCAGGATGCATTTTCATACAAAACAACAATTCATGTAGTCAGCATTTCATTCTATTGTGATAATTTTGTTGCACCGGTGCTTCTAATTTCACCAGGTTGCACTGATCTGGCCAAAGCCTTATCTACAGTAGGTAATCGTACCATTTAAACTTGAAACACAGGGATGGCACTGGGAGCAAGCAGAAAGGTTTCAGACTATCTACACCAATCAGAATCACCCTGCTTCAGGTGTACATGTTTTCTGGGTGCATGGCTCAAACCTCATATGTTTCAGGATCACGCTCCATCAGGTCTCCACAATTCACTTTGCTTGCACTACCAGCAAAGCACAAAAGAGAGCAAATCAGCACTACCAAGGGGGGATTGAGGAGGAGAGAAAAGAGTGATCCCTTACTGGTTAAATAAGATTTCCTCACCCACATGGAGTTCATTGCAGGACTGACATGTAAGCCCCTGCACACACACCAGTCTTCTGAAATCAGTGAGGCTCTACATCAGCACATGCAGAATCAGGGTCAAATGTTCAAGAGACATCAAGTGGGCACAGCTATGTCATGTCCCTTGCCTTTTTTATTTTTTTTTTTAAACAAGTCAGTGAAGTCTCTAAAGTACAGGCAGTAGTGCTAAGAGTATTTTAAATAAAAATATTGATTTTTTTTTCTAGAAATAAAAACTTACATCTTGGTTATGTTTAGTCGTTATATCCAGTTTTTCTTTTTTGGCTTGATGAAGTTTCCTTCTCAGATCTTCAGTAACATCCAGCTCTGACTGACTACTATTTTGCAGTAGCCTCAACTCACTCTGGATACAGTGTAGGCTGCAAAACAGAAGTATATTTTAACTATCATTGCTTCCCTGATTATATCAATTTTCATAGTTACTGATTCGATTAAATGTTAGGACACTGCAAAGGCATAAACCCTACCAATTTAAAAGATGTCCAGCAGATCTCCGTTGTTTTGTTTCATTGAGATTCAAACTTATTTTTCTGTTTACCATACAATACTATATCACCAACTATAAAATGTTGGTTACATCATTCACCTTCTTCTATCATACTACACGACACATTTGCAACCATCATTCCTTTCTGTGGCTCTTCCCTTAAAAAAAAAGGGGGGGGGCGGGGGGAAGAGAAGATATTTTGCATTCTTGCATTCCCACAAAAAAGATGCAGGTTTAAGGTGCACTCTTGGTACGTGGTGAATACTCTCAACTCCCTGTTACTTCAGTGGAAATGAAGAACATTAAGCACAGAGCAGGATCAAGCTTAGCGACTGAGGCTTTATCTACACACACACATTGTACCAATTTAACTAAAATCAGTTTGGAAATGGATTTTAACTAAACTGGTTTAGAAACTTGTTTCATTAAATCCATACAATCTCCTCATATGGCAATCTAGACACTGATTTTAACTTTTAAATCAGTTTAAACTGACAGTTAAATAAGTATGACTTTTGTATATAGTCAGTATCTTTTCTATAGTTAACTGCTCCCACAAAAAAGGTAAACAACCAAGACAATTAAAAATAAAATACTTTCAATGGAAATAAGGCCATAGCACATATGAAAAGAAATTATTTTCCCCAAGGTGACTTTAGGGTTGCCAGGCGTCCAGTTTTCGACCAGAATACCCAGTCAAAAAGGGACCCGTTAAAAGTCTGGTCAGTGGCACAACGGAGGCCTGGGGCTAAGGCAGCCTCCCTGCTTTCCCTAGTTCCGTGTGGCTCCTGGAAGTGGCCACCAGGTCCTTGCAGCCCCTAGGTGCATGGGCAGCCAGGGAAGCTCTGTGCACTGCCCCCACCCTGAATGTTGGCCCCGCAGCTCCCATTGGCCGCAAACTGTAACCAATGGGAGCTGTGGGGTGGCCCCTGCAGGCACGCGAGCAGCAGGCGGCGCTTCCCTGGCTGCCCATGTGTCTAGGAGCCGCAAGGACCTGGCAGCCACTTCTGGGAGCCGTGATAAGTGCCGCTGGGACCCTGCACCCCCAACTCAGCCCAGAGTCTCCTCCTGCACCCAAACTCCCTCTAGGAGCCCGCACACACACCCCCCCAACACCCCAACCCAGAGCCACCTCCTGCACCCCAAACCCCTCAGCCTGACCCTAGAGCCCACACCCCCAGCCAGAGCCCATACCCTCCTGCCCCTGCACTCCAACCACCTGCCTCAGCCTGGAGCCATCTCCCACACCCTGAACCCCTCATTTCTGGCCCCACCCGGAGCCCGCACTCCCAGCCCAGAGCCCATACCTCCACCAAACAACAACATCCTGCCCCAGTCCGGAGCCCTCTCCTGCACCCCTAACCCCTCATCCCCGGCCCTGCCCCAGAGCCCACACCCCCAGCCGGAGCCCTCACCCCTCTCCTGCACCCCAACCTCAGCCCAGTGAAAGTGGGTGGGGGAGAGTGAGCAACGGAGGGAGGGGGTTGGAGCGAACGGGGTGGGGCTTTGGATAAGGGGCGGGGCAAGGGCGGGGCCGCAGAGAAGGGGTGTTCGGTTCTGTACAGTTAGGAAGTTGGCAACCCTAAGTGACCTACAAAAGTTTGCATGATTTTCCATACACTTAGAAAAACTGATGTTTTGTATATATTTTGGCCTAAATAAAGCACTAAAAATATCACCAAAAACAGCTGTAGTTTTAAATATAAAAATAAACATCATCCTATTTTCCAAACACTACTACTGTTTCCAACGAATCAGAACCAGAGAGAGATATTTACTGGTCTAATGTTGTTGTCCAATCTGAGAACATGAAAAACAAAACCAACATAATAGGTAAACACTAAGTTTGTTTTTTAAAATGTTGTCAACTTTAATTGTTTCAAGGTGTTATTAGTAATTTAGGCAAAAATCTATTATTTTAAGCATCTAATTGTCTTGACAGTGTCCATATAATATTTTAAGATCTAATATTTATACTGTGGCTACTTTCATATCAGAGTGTCCATTGTTTTTATATGAAGTAAGGCCAATTGTTTGTGTCACAGATAATTATTCCTCTGGGTGAAATGTACTTAATAAATATGGGAGATAATGAACATTTGCAAAACTGCACCTGGATTCAATACAACAGAACCACAACAGCTATATAGTGTTACTATGGGAGCTATACCCAAAGGAATCAAGAATGAGGAGGAGGTAAAAATTAGTTGAGAGGCAAAAGCACAGTGCAGCTAAAAATGAATAACTTAAAATATAATGTATTATACACAAGTATCTTACATTTCACAGCCATTACAATAAGAAGCTAGGAGTGTGGAGGGAAATCAAATAGCGGAAAGGAGGGTATGAAGGGCTAGAATTAGTAAGAGCAACTGGGAGGAACACTGCAAAACCTTGATGGTTGTAGGCAGCATCGAACAATTGGGCTTTTGATGTTTCTAAAATGGATGGGAAAAATCAGAGATGGTAGGGAGGCAGACCATCTCTGGGGCAGCAGCACAAGGGATCAACCTCCAACTAAGAAAAAGAGGGAGTGTGGGACTGAGAGGAGACCAGAAAATACAGGAAGCTAGAAAAGTATGCATAAGGGGAAAGAAGGGAACAAGTTAGATAAGAGCTTTGAAGATGAGGAGAATGATTTTGTAGCAAACACTGATGGATGTGAACCCAGCAGAAATCTTACAGAAGGGGTGTCAAAGGCCTTTAAGGGAAGCCAGGCTCAGACTCACTTGTGACAGATCACCTTCCCCCTCACAAATCGCCTCCCCAGCTGATCCTGATGCGAAAGGGACCAGATGGCCTTGTTTAATTATTAGGCCCAGCTGGGTTTGGGTCATGGGATTTCTAAAAAGGGCTGCAAGACCTCTGGTGGGAGAAGGTAGGCCCCAGAGAAGGATAACTTTCAGGTATAGAGCTTGGAGGAGAAATGCTGGCTCCTGTGACAGGTCCTGGAAGAAGGGAGACACCCCCTGATGGAAAAAGCCTTATGAGTTAGAGCTCTGTAGGAAAGCAGGAAAGAAATGAGAGCTGAACCAGGGGGCAGAAGACCCTTTTTATGTTGCATCTGAGACTATTCTCTAAGTTTGTAACTAGCACCTTGCTGGGGGGTGCCAAGAGAGACAACTGTTAGGAGAGTTTCCCTGGGAAAGGGGAATGTGAGGCAGGCTCAATAGTGCGCCAAGAGGGTGCTGTAGAGGCTCACTCTACCACAAGGAGTCAGTGGAATCATTGGTGTGTGTACAAAGAGTCATTAATTGTATTACAAGAGTGCTAGAGGCCCCAGTCTGTATCAGGGAATCATTCATTCCTGCCCCCAAAGACTTTATAATCCAGTGGCAATATGCCAGAGGTGGGTATAGATCCCAAATGAAGCATTAAGACAAGGCTGTCAGTAGCAGGAACATCAGGCTACATTATTAGCCATGTATATTGTTTCAAAGTGAAGTAACCATTGCACATACAGAAGAGTTATGGAGAACAGGACGTGAAGCACCCTGCACTTCTGAATCTCTCTCGTGGCAGCAACAACATGTCGGGTATGTGTCTTGCAGACTTTCCCTGGTGCTGCAGTCTTTCCCTGCAGCAGGGAAAGGCTAAGATAGCATGATACTACACTGCTAAACGTAGCAGTGTAGACAGGGGAGGCCCTGCTTGGGTGTGCAGAGAGCTGTGTAAGGTACATAAGCCTAAGTTTCTGCCATGTCTTTACTCGCCTAAGCACTGCTTTGCTGTCTATACTGCTACTTATACCCATCCTAAGGGGCCATACTGTGTAAGTACTCTACATACTGGTGTGAGGAGTGTAAAGTGCCCTGAGATGGTGAAGAGTGGAGGTGAATGAGTAGCCAAGAGACTTGTAAAGCAAAGAAGAGAAATAGTAGAGCTATTCCCCTCTCACCTTCAGAGGAAGGGAGCTCTCCTAGCAAGAATGGAGAGAGAAAAATTAACTGAATTCATATTTACAGTGTGGCTCTCTGCCTCACTCTAATGCAGTGGTGGGCAAACTACGGCCCACAGGACCTTCCTGCCCGGCCCCTGAGCTCCTACCTCGGGAGGCTCGCCCCCGGCCCCTCCCCTACTGTTCCCCCTCCCCCGCAGCCTCAGCTCACCCCGCCGCCGGCGCAATGCTCTGGGCGGTGGGGCTGCGAGCTCTTACCGGAGAGCGCAGCTGCAGAGCCCGGGCCTGACCCGGTGCTGTGTGGTGGCATGGCTGCCTGTCCTGGTGCACCATGCCGCCAGCCACCGGTGCTCCAGGCAGCGTGGTAAGAGGGCAGGGAGCAGGGGGGGTTGGATAGAGGTCAGGGGGTGGGGATGTGGATAGGGGTCAGGGTGGTCAGAGGGCGGGGAACAGGGAGGTTGAATGGGGTCAGTCAGGAAGGAGAGGGGGTGGCGGCAGGGGGCAGTCAGGGGGAGGGGATCCGGGGGCGGTCAGGGGACAGGGAGGAATGGGAGGTTGGATGGGGCAGGGGCCCAGGTGGGCAGTCAGGAATGAGAGGAGGGGTTGGATAGGGCGGCGGGGGGCAGTCAGGGGTTGGGGTTCTGGAGGCGATCAGGGGACAGGGAGGAAGGGGTGGTTGGATGGGGCAGAGGTCTGGGGGGGGGGCAGTCAGGAATGAGAGGAGGGGTTGGACAGGGGGCGGGGGCCAGGCCATGCCTGGCTGTTTGGGGCGGCACAGCATCCCCTAACCGGCCCACCATACAATTTCAGAAACCCGATGCGGTGCTCAGGCCAAAAAGTTTGCCCGCCCCTGCTCTAATGGCTAGTCCATGGGTAGATGTTGAACAGGCTACAGCCTTTGAGCTTAAAAAAAACAAAAAAACCCAAACACTTTCTTTAGCCTAAGCAGTCAAAGTTCCTGCTTTTAGATCCAGAGGTTACATGAAGTTCTGATAACATGGTAACCACATAATCAGAACTCCAAGATGTCTATGTAGAAGAGAAAAGCTTTCCTGTATTATATATTTAAATTTAAGTTTTCATGGTATAGTCCAGATTAAATGGAGCAAACCAATTTATACCAGTTTGGGATTTGGTACACTGCCTGTCAAGGCTTCTACATTTTTATGACATTATTAATGTTTCCATTTTTAATTTTACTTTTCTATACTGGGGAGCTACTGTGAAGCTGCCTACAGGGAGAGCGCACTAAAAAAATAAATTAAAAAAAACCAGTACTATTTTACACCTTTGAAGTCATCAAAAAGGCTTATGCATCAGCTTTTGGGAAAGCCATTTCCTGCAAATCTCCCACTAGCCAGCAGCAGATGAAGAAGAGGTTGTCTAGAACAGTTAACATATCACACTGCCAGGCTCCGATTCAGCAAAAGACTTAATTACGTGGTTAAGTGTTTTGAAGAATTGGGACCTAAACACACAAACAGCAAAACCAGCAAGCAAAAAAAAAAAAAAGAGTCAGACCAGTTGTATATTTCATGTTTGGACATTATAGCTATGGAATAAAGTTTTGGAAGTACTATAAAAACCAAACAGCAGCATAAAGCAAATTACTGAATGTTTATTTATGGTATTTTCTACATTGCCTCTGAAATCACAATTCAACAATGAGCTTTTCCATAAGGTAATTTAGGTTGATTGCCATGAAAATCAAAACATTAGCAACAATATTAATAGCTCTTGCCCCTTCAGAATGGCTTTAGACTGAGCTGCCTTCACTTCAAAGCACAGGGTTTCAGCAAAACAACTAAGGCATTAGGGTAGCAACTTCTAATATTTATTATAAAATGGATTAAAATTAATGTAATTTAAATTAGACATTTTAGATTGCGTACTTATACTCAAAGTGTAATAAAGAAGTCAAACGACCTATTAACACTGAAATGGATTTTTTAAAAATAAATAGAGTAGCAGGAGAAGTTGTGCAGATACAGAAGAGCATATGCCTCAGCTATGCAATAAATCACAAGAACAATGGCAGAATGTCCAACACACAAGACTTGCTGATATTTTACACCTTCCATGCACCCTGTGTGGGAGCTATTCCTTGTACATACATACATATATATATGATGAACAGAGGATTAACTAAAGCAATGACAATGATAACTAGAGGAGATAACTAAAGAGAACGTAAGTGGTAAGGCTGAACGAACACACACATACATACAAATGGATTTTTATAAGAACTAACAGAAGCTGTTTGTTTCTATCATCATAAAAGTAATTGTGAGATGACTGTACAGCCTTGTTCACAATGTTCTTACATTATTTAATATTCCTGATGGATAATCATATTTAGAAAATATGCTTTTACCAAAATCATATACAAAATGCCATCCTTCACGCTTTTTCTAAAATTCTTTAAGAAAACAAGAGCAAATGAAATAGCTATTGAATACTACATTGCAGGGTAATGAGAATTTAACATAGGCCATGGGGGGAGGGATAGCTCAGTGGTTTGAGCATTGGCCTGCTAAACCCAGGGTTGTGAGTTCAATCCTTGAGGGGGCCACTTAGGGATCTGGGGAAAAATCAGTACTTGGTCCTGCTAGTGAAGGCAGGGGGCTGGACTTGATGACCTTGCAAGGTCCCTTCCAGTTCCATGAGATAGGTATATCTCCATAAATTAACTCAGCAAATCAATAAGTTGACTTTGAAGTTCAGTTGTGTACTGCAATCATATTGGTTACAATATTGTAAAAGTTGTTCATAGGGGTTTTTCTTCACACCTGACAAAAAATAGTGTAATTATATCTGTCACAACTAAGAGATTGATTTTTCTTCCAGTTGTTAATTAGCTATGGGATTTTTCTAAACTCTTATAGTCAAAGGGGGATTCTGCATATCTATCCTAACCAAAGATTATGTTTCAAGGAAAAAGAGTCTACCGCAGAATTCTGCTACCACTGCCAAAGCAGTTAGGAGTCCTGTACCATCATGATTTAAATGACAACAGCTAGTACTTGGGATCAATATTATTAGAATGAATCAAGGTTCTCTCTAATGGTGCTATTGTTTCAAGACATTGTATACTCAACAAAACAAAAATATTGATGTGAATGACAAGGGCCATATTCATGACCATAAGTCTGCAAATGCATCCTTCCTCTCTCCCTTCCATGGTGGCATTAAAAAAAAAAAGTGATTATGCACCCCACTTGTTCTAATAAACCAACTGGAAGTACTTGAGAAACCACTAAACTATTTGGTTTCCCAGAGGGCAATCCACATCATTTACTTATCTATAAACTAAAAGCAGAAATTTTCAGAGGTGGTGCTCATTACTTCTGAAAATTAGGTCCAAAATCTGTCTAGGTACAGAACTTTGACAGATATACCATAGCCTAATTTTTCAACTGTTTTTTTAGGGCTTTTATGCCAACTGTTTGATTCTCTCCCCTGCATGACAGTCCACTGCAAGGAAGTTGATAGAGAATTTCTTGTCTGAATATGAGGACCCTCAGTCCCATGGGACGTGCCTCAAGGTTTTCAGAAAGACAGTCAAAGTTTCAGTTCAATACACAATCTTCCTGAACAGATTCTTTCCAGTCCCCAAGTATCTAGGACTAGTCCTGCAACTGAACTGTATAGAAAGTGTAACCAAATGCTGTCTTGTTTGGCAAAGGAAAGACTTCTGTAACTCAGTGCAAACGCACCTAACTGTATTTGATGACTCCTTCTGCCCCACTACCATTTTTCTTTTTAAATACCTTCTGTGCTTTCCTAGCATTTCTTGCACTTAATTGGAGATATCATTCATGCCCTCTGGCCTAGCTGTTGTCAAACAAGTTGTATCAGATTAGCACAAATGATATGTACACCTCTACCCCAATATAACGCTGTCCTTGGGAGCCAAAAAACCTTACCGCGTTATAGGTGAAACCGCATTATATCAAACTTGCTTTGATCCACCGGACTGCGCAGCCCCCCCCCCGGAGCACTGCTTTACCGCGTTATATCAGAATTCGTGTTATATCGGGTCATGTTATATCGGGTAGAGGTGTATTTATTAAGTTTTGTTTTCTTAGAATGACCTACTGCCAAACCTCCAAAACAAAGAAAAATTCTCACAGAAAGACAACATAAGTTACTGGATTTTAAAATAAGGAACTGAAGCTCACCGTTTGATTTCAGGAATAGTGTAACTGATTGGAGGGGTAGAATTCATGATGACGAATCTCCAACTTTTTAATCTATAGTGTCTGTATAACGAACACAATCTTCAATTATATTCTTTTACAGAAACTGACACTTCAAAGATTACTCTTCTCTTTGCATCATATGGATATATTAAAACCTATAACATAAAAAGGGCAGTTTATTTCTCATTGTAACAAAAGGAATCAATTGTATTTATTCTCAAATATTTATTAAACAAACAATGTAAGCTTTAGGCTCAGTCACGTTAACACTTACTACCAGATATAGCTCCACTGAAGCCAATCAGAGACAGCAAAAAGAACTATACCCCCTAGTAAGCATTTGTAAGATCAGGCCCTTAACCTGAACACTGGAGCAGAAAATGCATGTTTTTGAAGACAATATTTGATCCTAAACTTACAATAGAAGGAGAGCGAAACACACAAAATTGTCTCTTTGTAGGTTGTATCCCTCCATTTCCCTGATGACGCATTCATCTGTGGGTTTCGGGTGTTTTGGTTTTAAAGTCACAATACAGATAAATAGGCCCCATGGTAGAACAATTTTAAGGTAGGTCAATATTTGGGCCTTCACTGTGCGATAGTGGCCCTTAATTTAGCAAGTCCTCCTGCCATTAGAAAACTAGAAACCTAACATTTTCTACCAATTATTGCACTGAGGTCATTAATCACTATAAAGTATCATGGATTATAGCATCAAACATAAATTTGACTAATGTGAAGATTCCTTTAGCAAAAATTCTGCATAGAAGAAATCCAGGTTTATTCTCTTAATACATTTAATACATCAAGCATATTTACAAAACAAGTATTAAAATATCACACTCAATCTGAAAAAGCTAACACTTATTTCAGCTTGAAGAATAAATTCATTTACAGTTCTCTTGGTCAGCATATGCTAGATTCAGCAAAAAGATTAATTAACCATGAAGATTTGCTTCTACATGCCATGTTAGATGGACTCCCATGCCTAGGACCTAGCCTGCAGGCCATCTTTACCATCTAAATGTTGCAGCCACGTGTTTGCCATAATCTATTTCCATCTGACCTAACATAGCAGTCTTCAGCTCTAACAAAATTGGACTATTTAATCACTTTATATTATGCTATTTCTGAAGGTTTTTAAAAACTGTATGTGTTTTCTTGTCTTTATTTTTAATTCAATTACATTCTGCAGTTTGTCTCCAGAAAACAGAATCTACTCCTCCCTCCCCCGCACAAAAAAATCCTATTACCTTTATTTATTCATTCTTTATTATATTGTTTAATAATAATTTCAGGCCAATCTAAAGTAACTAAATTAAATTCATTGGAATTACTTGGGTGTAAATCTAAAGCAAATGAGAAAAGAAATTGACTTTTAATTTATTTATTTGGCTCCAGTTGCTTTATCAAACATTTCAAGCTATGTTAGTTTACTTATTTGTGATTTATAAGTTGTGCCCACAAAAATTATTTCTAAGCATGTACATGCATTTAAAACTCAAATACATAACTGGTGTACAACTGTCACTGACAAGAAGGCTCCCCCTACAGATTAAAGCCGTCCTTCCATCCCACCTGAAAAAATAGCTAAATATGTAATAAATGTTTTTAAAACTATAACGCACTATGATACAGTTGCTAGACAGTTGTTATTTTAGCAACTGCAATATAGACAAGGTCATTGAGTCACTTGTCTCTGAATCTTGTAAAGTTGTGTCAGTATTCAATTCTTCAAAAATGCTAAACAACAGTGAAGTCAATAGGATTGCTTCTCATAGTAAACAGTAGTAAGTGTTTGAGAAACTAGGCCCTTATTAAAGTGCAAACTAGCCCTTAAGACACAGCCCGGATACAGAAAGGCACACTCCCTGCAGCGTGCCCTTTATATTGCTTCAGGGAGGAAAAGGGCATATACTAAATCACCTTTTTAAATGACACCCCACATTCAGCCAACAACACTGGCCAGTGCATGGAGGATGGGTTTCCTGCCTCCATCTGCTCCTTGCAAACACAGTTCAGGGGTTTGTCAACCCAGGAACACTGCCCAGGTTGCTATCAAATACTGTCTCTTCTCCATTCAAGATAGACATCAGGGTAATCATCTGGTCACCTTCAAGTGAGTGGGTGGTTATGGCTGCTCAGTGGAAGAAGTCCTCTTAAATTGCCTAGTTAGCATCTTTTGCAACATCAGAGGCACAAACTGCTTCGTGGGCCCTGAATCAGGATGTTCAACCAACTCTGAGGTCAAAGCTACCATCCTGAACTACTTAGGGGAACTCAGAAATGGTAGTACTAAACATCGCTCCTAATCCTCCCCCTCCCACTCCAATACCTTCCACTGCGTCTTTTATCTATTACTGTGTACCACCATCCTGCCTGTCATTCAGGCCTGTAACGTGGGCATCATCTTTGGTTTGGACCTCTCTCTGGGTCCTCATATCCAGGCTATGTCTAAATCTTGCAAATTATTTCTGCTCCAGTAAGACAGCTCAAACTCTCATCCAAGCTCTCATCTCGCATCTCAATTACTGCGACATCCTTCTCTTTGGCTTTGTCAAATACAATCTTGCTCCACTCATATCCATTCTACTACTGCTAAGATAATTTTCCTAGCCCGTCACTTTGACCATGTCACCCTTCTCTTTCACTCCCTCCACTAGCTCCCGCATCTTTATCAAATCAAACATAAGATGCTTGTGTTCACTTTCAAGACCATTCATCGTCAATTCCCAGCCTACTTATCCTCTCTTATTTGCTATCAAGCTGTCAACTCCTTCCTCCAATTAGGTTAGCCTCCATCGCCCACTTATTACATTTTCAAACAAAGACCTTTGTGCATTGTCCCATACTGCCCTCAAATGTGTTCCCCATAAATGTCTATATATCAACTTTATTATCCACTTTCAAATTCCTCCTCAAAATTCCTTGGCAAGGATACTACACAAAATTTGACAACAGTTAGACTGCTGGTGTCCTGAGATGACTGCATATGATGCTGACCAATATTGTCTCATTGTTTACTTGTACCCCCCCCCATCTGTCTATATTCATCTGTTGTCTCTTGTCTTATAATTAGTTTGTGTGCCCTTTGGAGGCAGGAACCATCTTTTTGTTCTGGGATTGTACAGCACCTAGCACTACAGGGTCCTAGGCTAAGTTCCCTCTAAGCTACACGAACGCGCAGTAGGCTATCAAGGGTCACGCAGCTAGGGAGAGGCACCCTTCCCCCGGCCCAAGCCAGCCCAGCCGGAGCTGCCGCAGCCAGGGAGAGGTGCCCCGCCTCCTCCCCCAACCCGCCATGGCTGGGGAGAGGTGCCTCTCTCCCCGATCCCAAGCTGCTGTGGCAAGAGAGGGCTGGGGGGTGTCCTCCCAGCTGCAGCCCCAGGGCAGCCTGCACACCAAACCCCTCATCCATGGCCCCATCCCAGAGCCCGCACCCCCAGCTGGAGCCCTCAGCCCCCACACTCCAACCCTCTGCCCCAGCCCTGAGCCCCCCCACCCCAAACTCCTCGGCCCCACTCCCGCCACTTCCATATTGGTGCACATAACAAAATTCATTCCGCACATGGACATAAAAAATTAGAGGGAACGCTGGTCCTAGGCACTACAGTAATACACATAATAAATAATAATAGTACTAAATGGCTCCCAACCAGAACTGCTTTTTCTCAAGCATAGAGTCACGTACCATCACCAAACAACTGTTGAACTAGGGCTTAGGCAACATGGTAGCTCAAGCCAGAACCTGAGGCAGGCTTAAGTTTGGTTCTAACACATTTTGTCCCATTCACATTGTCCAGATAACTAATAATTTTTAGAAATCACTTTAGTAGTTGGAACCATACTAAAGATGAGGCAGTGTGAAAATGTTCCTGAACTTAGTTTGAAACGAAGTAAAGAAGAAGCATGAAGTATGTTTCAGTAGAAAGCTACTAGTTTTGAATATGCAGTATTCTTTACTTTATTTAAATAACTGACTGATTTACTACCACACTGCAAAAAATAAACAAAAAAACAAACAAACAAACAAATATGGTATTTAATTGATGGCAGTATGAACTGTTGGAATCTCATGGGATTCCAGTAAAAAACTTGTTCAAGTAGCAACAAAAAAGTTCAATTTAATAAGTTAATATATATCTATGATTAATTTTTCTTGTGATTTACATCTGTATACAGTACTAGGTCCCAATCCTCCAAAGAGCACATGCTTAACTTTATGCACTAGTCTTTGCAGGATTGCAGCCTTATAATATTGGAATAGGTGTTATTAGTATATTTAAATTACAAACTTGAACATCCAATCAGCAGATTCTTCCAAAACTATCTATAGACTTTTATTATTGCAAATCATAATTTGCAGTGAAATCTATAAAGGAGGCCAGTTATCCTTTCACTGCAATTATATATCTTACTGAAATATTTAAATATGTTAATAATCCAAAGGTACGGACTTTTTTGATACGATGTTAATAACAGAATCCATTTAAATAAAGGAAAATGACTAAAGATCTTTCGGGTTTTAGAAATTGTTCAAAATGCCACATCATCAATATCTAGATACAACATGATAAAAATCAGATCTACACAATTTTTTTAACCAAACATACATATAAATGAATAAAGCTCTCTTGCTACTTCTGTGTATACTTGAGCAAGAGCATATCAATGTCACACCTGTAGGTCAGCTCTGCCTTGTCATTTTCTGAGCCTCAGCTAGCCTGATCAGCAAGCACTAGGATACAAAATCATACAAAATGAGAACATCAGTGCTCTGCAAATATGCAGTGAACATTCTAAGAATTACCATGATTTTTTTTTTTAGGAACATTTGTTATGTATACAAAACCCATCACAAGAAGCAGCCCCTGGTTCTACACTGATTAGAACTAGCTATTTTGTTTTCTATTGTGTACAGTAATATTTTAGGAAAACAAGTTCTGAACTAATACACATCCAGCATTTTACTGATTTTGTTTATAATCCAATTACAAACTGCCCTCCCTCCAGAGAAATCTCCACCTTAGTGCTCAGTAGTCTAAGCATTAGAATCCCAAACCACAACTCCCTGAAAACACAAGTTCACCCAGTCCTATTTTCTGCTTCCTTCACTGCACTATGAACCAACTTGTTGCCTTCCACCTCAGAAATGGCTGCATTTGAACAGGGCAATAAGTTCACAACTAGTAAAGCGCTTTGGAATTACTCAGGATGAGAGGTGTCTACGTCTAAAATGTTACCAAATCCTAAATGTTTTTGATGAGAAAAAGAGGCTCTGGGGAGCAGGATTCCCAGCCACAAGGACATTAAAAAAAAATTGCATCTTCATAGATAATAATGATGCTCCCCCTCACCCTCTGCTCCTCCCCTGCTCCCACATATGTCCTCGCCCCCTGCACCCCCTTTCCCACATAAGCTCCCAGCCTCTCAGCCCCACCTCTCCCATCAGCCCCCTTCTCTTCCTGCCCCATCTGCCTCCCGACCCAGCTCCATCAGGCTCACCCTCAAAGCCATCAGCCCTCCCCTGCTCGCCCAACCCCTCCCCAGTCTCCCCACCAGCCCTGCTCTCCCCACTACCTCCCACCTCTGCGGGGCAGCCCTGGCGGGGAGCGGTGGCTGGCGGCAGCAGGCCGGCAGGCAGTAATAGTGGAGTCTGGGCTAGGTGGGGATGGACGGTGGACAGGCTAGGCGTTAGGACCCAGAGGTGACCCAAAAACCCACGCCGCCCCTCCCTCAGCTCAAGAAGAAATTTACAACGGCCACTTCCGGTAACAACACCACGGCGACCTTGTCCCACCCCCCGCCCCAGAGCGGTGCTTCCGATTGGAAGGACAAAGCATTGTGACGCATCACGCTCCCAATGGCCGGAGACAGAACAAACGGCCTCCGTCTTGGCCCGACAGGATAGGAGTACGCATGCGCAGTAAGGTACCGCTTGAGGTCCTGGGGAAATAAGAGGTGGAAAGAGGAGGGCCTGCGCACTGCGTGCAGTTGGAGAGATATAAGGGAGGGGGTGAGTTCTCCTCCCGCGCTGAGCTCTGGAACTCCCGCTCGCCTGGCGAGGCAGGGCAGGAAGAGGACAAGGAGAAGGTGTTTGCCGGTCTCATGCATAAGTTTCAGCAAAGGAGGGAGGGGGTCATGTTGTAGGGGAAGAATGAGAGAGAGGAGGAAGGGAAAATTCAGAGATATTGTCAAGGGAGAAACTGAAGCCATTGGACAAAGAAAGGAGAGTACAGGAAAGGATGTTGTCATGATGCAGAAGCAGATAAGTTCAGTGGTGCTGGAACTAGCTAGGGGTCCCACCCCGCCCCCAACTGAAGTAGTAATAGCAAACACCAAATACATGGTTTCCATCATCAGCATGCCCATTATAAAAAAATTTCCAGCACCCCTGGATAAGATTTCGGGAGAACACTGTTGTGGTGTGCTCACATAGGCTACAATTTAGTCATGGAGGTCACAGAAGTCAAGGAATCCGTGACTTCAGTCTGTGGTGGTCGGGAGCTTCAGGTCCTGCTCCGCCAGCGAGGGCAAGGAGCGGCAGGGTCCCCCCATTGCCTCTGGTGGCCCCTGGAGCTCCAAGCTGCTTTGGGGGCAAAGTACCCTGCAGCTCCAGGCCACTGTGATCAGCGGGGGAATCACTGAGCCTCTGGCTGCAGCAGGGGAATCCCCGAGTCCCCCCTGCCCCCTAGCTACTGGTGGCAGCAGGGGAATCCCCCTGATAGGGTGACCAGGCAGCAAGTATGAAAAATCAGGACAGGGTGGAGGGTAATAGGAGCCTATATAAGAAAAAGATCCAAAAATCGGGACTGTCCCTATAAAATAAGGACATCTGGTCACCCTAATCCCCGAGCCTCTGCTGGCAGAGGACCCCCGAGCCCCGGCCACCAACGGGAGAACCTCTGAGCCCCCAGCTGCTGGCAGCAGAATCCCCAAGCCCCTGCCAGCAGAGGACCCTCGAGCGCCGGAACCCCTGAGCCCCCAGTCACTGGTGGGGGAGCCTCTGGATGCTGGCGGGCAATGGGGGAACCCCCGAGCCCCCGCCGGCAGAGGACCCCCAAACCCCGGCCGCGGACAGGGGAATCCCTGAGCCCCTGCCGGCAGAAGACCCCTGTGTCCCAGCCACCGATGAGGGAATCCCCAAGCCCCCAGCTGCTGGCAGCAGCAGGGGAATCCTCGAGCCCCCGCTAGCAGAGAACCCCTGACCCCAGAACCTCCGAGCCCCCAGCCGCCAGTGGCGGGGGAATCCCCAAGCATCCGACCTGCGGCAACAGGGGAATCCCTGAGCCCCCGCCCAGCAAAGGACACCGGAGCCCTGAGCGGGGAAACTCCCGAGCCCCTGGCTGCTGGTGGCAGCGGGGGAATCCCTGAGCCCCCGGACGAATGCCCAAGCCCCCGGCCGTGGCGGGGGAACCCCACAGCTCTCAGCCACTGCCTACGGGGGTACCCCACAGCTCCCAGGCAACATGGAGGCAGAGGCACCCCACAGCTCCTGGCCCCAATGGGCAGCGAGGGACCCCCGGAGCTGCAGGTGGCAGGGGTATCCCGCAGCCCCCAACTGCTGCAGGCAGCTCCCAGGGGCTCCAAGCTGCTTCAGGTGGTGTGGGGATCTGCACATCCCCATTTTGTCAAGTATGTGTTTAGCAAAAGTCAGGGACAGATCACGGCTTCCCATGAAAATTTCTTTTTGCCCGTGACCTGTCCATGACCTTTACTAAAAATATCCATGACAAAATCTTAGCCTTACATATAACACACCAGCTTAACCCCATGCAAGTAGCCTGTTGTGAACACAGGATACTGGGAGACACTTTATGCTCTCCTGACTTCAAAGGATAGACAATTCCCATACCATTCCACCTCTCAAGAGATGGAGAATAGCTACAATCCCAATCTCTTCCAATTTAGTATAACTGTAAAATGGGGGTGGGTCGGGGGAGAGGGAACATTTCCCTGTAGAAAAGCCCTTAGCAGGAGCTTGCTGTGCTGGTTCAAGGAATGCTTCAGTCTTCAGCCCAGAGATTTCCTTGAGAAAGACAGAATCAAATGAAAATAAGTTTATAATGAATGCTGAACTGCAATATTAATTTTCTTTTGGTGCATGTGCTCTTTACAGAGTTTTTTATAGTGCACATAGAAGTTTAAAATATGATAATTGCCTTGTGGGATATATCATCTATTTGGCTTAGTATAGTATATGGAACTGTTAACTCTGGCTATATTAGAATAATGTTGTAATGTGTTTATGTCTCTTTTTATTTTATTTACCTAAGAATGCATAAATATGATACTCTAGACATAATAGCTGGACTCATTTTGAATGGCTTACCAGTTTTAATTCACAACAAAATTGTGAGCCTGTTCACAAACAAAACCAAACTCTTTAATCCTTTCAGATGCCAAGAAATATTTGATGTTTTCACTTTTCAAGTAACTCGGCTTTTGACCTCTTTTGAAGACACTTTGCCTGCAGCTGAAATATGTCTAGTCAGTTTTTTAGTTAGAAATAAAAGAAAAAATTTACACCCACTCTGTGCTAAATTTGCACAGCTATGAACAACTACACAAGGTGCAAGGTTGTAGAGAAAAAGTCCTATAATTCAAATTTCTAAGAGATGACAGATTTCAAAAGACTACTTCCAAAGACTGAGAAAGCGGTAATGTTCTCTACAGCAGTGATTCTCAACCTATTTATCATTGTGGACCGCATATGCGGCCCACAAAGTGTTATCTGGGCCGCAGTTTGAGAATCACAGTGCCCCCCACAAACCCCTATGCCCAGCGCCCTCTACCCAGAGACCCCTCCACAGAGCGGGGCCAGGAGCCGAGAGCCGGGTGGGGGGTAGGGACCTGACCCTGGACCCCATTGTGTGGAGCTGTAGGGCAGCCAGGACCCCGCCCCCAACCTCCGCCCAACCCTGGACCCCACCGTTTGGGGGCCAGCCAGCAGCCCGAACCGCGAGCCTGTTGTGTGGGGCCGGGCGGCAACCCAGACCCTGCTGCGCAGAGAGGCCGGCAGTCTGGAGTCCACTGCACATCAGGGCAACTGGGAGCCTGGAACATTTAGCAATAGCTGAGCTGGACCCCCGCTGTGTGCTAATTGGGCTGCATGCAGGCCGCAAGTTGAGAACCGATGTTCTAAAGACCCCAAAAGCATGATATCAAAACTAAAAAGTGACCTTATTAAATCAGATATGGACAACAAATGTAGTTATATGATTAAATAGAAAAAAGTTTAGCCAAGGAAATTCCCTTGAATATTGAACCCTTATATAGTGTAGGACAGCATAATCTTTCATATGTAAAAGAAATTTTTAAATGAGTGATTTTGTGTTACCTAACATCCCTTCCTTTAAAGAAAATCTATGAAGATAGCTTAAATTAGTGCTGGGGAGAGAGGAATAAAAAGTACCTTTATCCATGTTTGGTGGGATTGACCCAAAGCACAGGAATAAAACCTAAGAATGGATATAACAGAATTGAATATTATAGGCAGGGCTGGTAACTTCACCAATTATGATGGCCTGACACTTCCAATTATAAGACTTTTTTTTCCAGTTGCTTATAGGTTTGTCACATTTTAACAATTTGGACTGAAATCTTCCAGGGTGTTTGCCTCTGGCTGAATTATTATTTTTTATTATTATTATTTTAATTTCAGCCAAACAGGTCAGCCATTTTGAAAGATGGGTTATGAAAAATACACTGTTTTGTCCAAGTTAAAAAACTTTGGTGACCTTTGTTGTTTAGGGGCCACTACTACCCCCATGTTTGGAGAAGGGACTTGAAATTTGGCAGAGAGGTAGTCTTTGCATCAGGGGTATGCCTTTTGCTGTCTCTGTGAAAATCCATCCAAATTTGGCCATATTCTAAGCCTATGTAATTTGCAGTTTGCACAAAGACTCTCTAGAGTCTAAGAGCTAAAAATCCCTGAAACTGCTGTTGCATGAAAGAAGGACTTTCCTGCACTTGTAGTTCTGGGCTGCTGTGGACCCTGCTGGATCTGGTCACCAGAACTGAAAACAGGGATTCTTTCTCTCCTGTGCTGTCAATGCCTCCACAGCTGGGCCTAGGCAGCATGGAGGAAGAAACTGCCTGGTTCAAAATTCCAGAGGAGATGAAAGATGGAGCTGGGGAATTTGATTGAGATAAGGAATCTGGGACATGGGGTATTGGAATTGGGAGGCTTGTAGTGGGGAGAGGAAAGCTGGGACTGGGAGGGTCAGGAATTGGACTGGCTGGCCCAGCAAGGAGACTATATTAAGTTATATGTTCAAAAAGGCCAAATTAAGGTTTCACAGGCAACCTTAAATTCTGACATTTCCTAGCTTTTCAGTGTTTGATTCTGCAACCTTAATGTTCTTTTGAGTGTATGACTATCAAGGGTGTTTTCAGATGTGAAGAGGATGCTTGACTCTTATTGTTCTATATCTGCTTCTGAATGTATGAGATCTGAGTTCCATTCCTAGCTCTGTCCCACACTTTCTTGTGACTTTAGGCTAGACACTTAATCCCTCTGCTCAAGTTTTCCCGTCTGTAAAACAGGGATATCGATAATTATCTAATTTTGTTTCATGCATGAGTGATATTCACCGCTGTGTAAAGTGCCAGTATAAAGCCTATAGACTGCTTAAGATCTGTTTTCAGTGATTAAATGAGTTAAGTGGTATATAGCCTTCAGCTAGCCATTTCACCTGAATTGTAATGCACTTAGTTACTCCTGAGGGCATTCTGCACCAAACAATTAAAAATATGGTGCACAATATTTTAAAATTCTGCAAAATTCTGCCAGTTTTATTTGTCAATAAATAAATGCAGAGGCTCCACTATGACAGTGCGGAACACAGGCCACTGGC